TATATTATATTAAACTGAATAAATAGTTGTAAATCTATATTATATTAAACCCAGTTTTAAGCTTTTTACTTGTAATGTTTTTTTTTACACGCTCAACTGCTTGATATATTGTTTTATATATATAGTGTTGGTATCAAGTTTCAGGTTATACAACAGAATGTAATGGAAACCAGTATCATGATTCTGTGTCATTTAACCAACCATATATCCATATATTTTTGATGAATGTTTCTAGGCTGTGACATTTACCAACCAGGAATTCTTGCTTCAAGCATCTCACAAAAGTCCGCGTGGAACTCTTGCTTTTCTACTCGATGAAGATGCCCTGTTGGTGAAGGTTACACAAGGCTGGCAGTATATTCGAGTAGGTTTTCTTGAACCTGTGTTTTAATGAACCGTATTTACACTGCAGAACTGTAAAACCTTAAAAAGGCCCAACATTTAAGGAAATGATTTACTGCTTAGATGGCAAACATTTTAACTGTAGAAGGAAGTTTAGGGTGGTATTTTACTGTTTCATGTAAAGTCTAAAAGCTCGTGAGTGAAACAAAAGAAAATATATGTCAAGTTTACCGTTATTTATTGCATTTAAAGATTCGGGAACCACAAATAACTTCTTGGTATTTTAGGAATGTTTTATGCATTTTCACAACCCTCCCTAAAACACTGAGAGCTTTCATGAAAATTGCTTATTTTATGGTTTCTGATATTTTCCATCACAGCTTGGACCCATCCTGCCTTCACCAAAACCAACAATAGCACCAACTACGGTATGTGAAGCTTTTTTTTTCTCGAAGTGCTGGAAGGATTTATTTTCGGGTTTTGAAATGCTGTAGCTATTGGTAAAGCACAAAAATTTTGTTTCAAATATTAAATTTTAAAGTGAAAAGTAAATATATATTACACAATATTAAAAGACTTAGAAAATGTATACCTAGAAGTTCACATTGAAAATACTGAATTCTTTACTTATTTTGACCCAAGTCTCTTTAACACTGATACTCCTAATGTTTTCCTGTGTGTATATATTTCGTTTGTTAATCATAATTCACATAAAGAAACAAACATCAGATAATCAAGAAAAGCATGCAGAGCCAAACGGTGAATCTCCATATGTATCCCAAAATACCAAAAATCTACAAGTTTCCGCCTCTTGTACTGAACTCTTTAAAATACACTAAAGCTGCAGTCTTACTAAATTAATAAGGTGATTTATGTATCTCATTTGAGTTTAATTTCGACCTTTCTAATGTTGACTATTTTTTAACTACAGGGTTTTACCACAAATAAACCAGGACCAACAAGTACATATAATTTGGTGCTTGAGAATAGCGGAAGGGTAAGAAGAATACATTTCTTGTTATCATCTCATAATTGTTGTTTCTATTGATATGATTACGTATTCACGAATTATTTATATTAATTATGTAAGATATTTTCCCACCAATATTATTTAGTGGTTGTAAAAATCTATTATATAATGATTACCACAAATCTTGAAACATACAGTGTTTAGCCTAATAAATACATAACTTAAAATGTAACATAAAATGTATGTACAACAGCAAACTTAACCAATAGGAGGTGAAAAGACACTTTAGTATTTGGTGCCAGTAATCTGTGTCTATGTAGATTGGTTTTTCAAAATATGATACAACCTGACAAAACACTTTTTCTTGTAACTTCTCTCAGACTAAGAACGATTTCAATAACAACTTCACAACTGAAAAGAATGATTTTTATGCTAGTTTTCTTGCATCATGTGCTGTTTTTTGGGGGCAGTTGGTAAATTGTGGGTGGATATAAGTTTGTGATCCATCTATCATGACTACATGCGAACAAGATTGAACTCGTCTGGCAAGTGTTCAACTAGTTGAGCTAAAGGATTAACCCACTAACTCTCCCTAGCAATGCACATGTTAATAACAACTGCTACATCACTTTATATGTCTGTGACGATCTAAGTTTTGTGGGAGAGAACTTAACTCGTCTGGCAAGTGTTCTACTAGTTGAGCTAAAGGATTAACCCACTAACTCTCCCTAGCAATGCACATGCTATTAACAACTGCTACATCAATTTATATGTCTGTGATCATCTACGTTTTGTGGGAAAGAATTGAACTCGTCTGGCAAGTGTTCTACTAGTTGAGCTAAAGGATTAACCCACTAACTCTCCCTAGCAATGCATGTGTTAATAACAACTGCGACAGTAATATATATATGTCTGTGATCATCTAAATTTTGTGGGAAAGAACTGAACTCGTCTGGCAAGTGTTCTTCTACCTGAATAAATGATTAACCCACTAACTCTCTCTAGCAATGCACATGTTAATAATAATGCTACAGTACTTTATATAAGTGTTAATATGTAAGAAAAACAAAAGATTCATTTGAAAGAAAAAGCAGACGCGTAAGTCGTCAAACGATAACGAGACATATATTTTAGGCAAGCATTTTAAAATTATTTTATTAAAGTAATATGAGTTACTCCCTGTGCAAGTATATTATATAATTTGTAAACAACATCAGTTCACTGCAGAATCATAACTAACACATGAAACAAATATTTTGCAGATTTAAATCCTTAAATATCACGTGGATCTCGTGTCTCTCCGTGATGTGTACCACATGTTTCATTACTTTGGCAGTATAATTTCAATCCATAAAGAGCTTTGAACAAAATCCAACCAATCATTTCAACTTCCATCTGGTCATTTAGATCAGTGATTTCCAAAGTGGAAGCCGCCGTGAAGCTTTTTCTGGGGAGCCGCCAAAAAATGGGCCGAAAACAAAGATGCTGAATTAATTTTAATTTTGAATAAACAATAAGCCGATAAAAATTACGTAGAATTAGTTAAATGATACAGTATGTTGAAAGGTGATATTACTGTGTTTACTAAGGCACTGTTTTTCAATCACCATGCTAAAGTTGTGGTGGGGGACATTTTAAGGCATTTTTATAGGTTGGGGAGCCTCAAACGTTTTTATTCAGATCAAGGGAGCCTCAGACTAAAAGATTTCAGGAACCACTGATTTAGATAATTGTAATTACTACCTATTTGTTTCCCCTACACAAGAAAATAAGATTCAACAATACATCTTTTTGACATTTTTAATTAGAACCGTTATGTTAATTTTGGAGGAAACAGAACTCTACTAAACTTGTAATACGTTATTTCAGCTACGAATGGCTGCCTTAAATCAACCAATGAAGGGGGACATGCACGGCGTGAGAGGAGTAGATTATGACTGTTATAGGCAAGCGAGACAAGCCAACTTACGAGGCACTTTTCGAGCCTTCTTAGCTTCAAAGGTTCAAGATTTAAACAGTATTGTCTACTATAAGGATAGAAAATCCCCTGTTGTTAACATCAAGGTAGGTGAACATGATAACATTTATACAAAACAGTATTAACATCTAGTATTGACACTTAACATTATGAAAATATAAAATTTATATATTCATACAAGTACACGTTCTTACCAAAGATGTAGTAGTAAGTTTGTGTGTGTGTGTGTGTGTGACGAAGTTTCTAATAGTTTCCTAGTCCTTGATTTATAAGTGTACATGTTGGCTGCATTTAATTTCTTTAAAATTACCAACCACTTATCAATTAAGGTTATATAACCAACTGGCATATTGGAGTCGTGAAAATATAATTTATATATTATCTGTACTTTATATAGCAACTCTATTCGTGAATTATTATTACTTAGTAAAAAGCGAAAATACACAAGCTGTATTTTACCCCAACTATGCCACTGCTTCTTACGCACAATGTTCATAGATTAAACTTGAAGTCTTGAAAAATTTTGTTTGTTTTTTGAATCTTGCTCTAAGCTATTCGAGGGCTATCTGCGCTAGCCGACCCTTATTTAGTAGTGATAGACTACAGGGAAAGCAGCTAATCAACACCGCTCACCAAAAATTCTTTACTAAATACGAAAGGGTAAGAATTTTTGGTGACGGGGATTCGAACCCGAGCCCGCAGATTACAAGTCGAACGCCCTAACCACCAGAACTTAGTCTCGAAAATATCAGTGCGATTCTCAACCTACACGACACCAACATATTAAAGAGGTGAATATTCAGTACGAGCTTGAAAATTACATTTCAACGCAATTCAAAAACCTTTGATAATTAAGTATGCATAATTTTAATGTGTCATATCATGGGGATGAACGGCCACTTTTATTTGTTTAATTTTTTAGATTTATCGTAAAGCTGAATGAGGTCTATATGCACTAGCTTTCCCTAATTTAAAAACTAGAGTAAAGGCAGCTAGTCAACATCACCCACCGCCATCTCTTGGACTACACTTGACAGAACAAATGGCACCTAAGGCTCCAAAATGCAGAGTGTTTGTGATATAATTCATTGACTTCCCTAAGAGTAATCGGGTAGGAACTGAAATCATGTTCCAGAATGAAAACAACATATGAATATATGAATTACAACAATGTCATTCTTCTCAGAGTGCAGACTCTACCCACGTGACTGACGGTTACTCTAACTTCAAAATAGAGAATGTAGTATCCTTGGGGCATCACCTGACTTGCCAGTGAAAAACATCAGTGTATATTGCTATACAGTAACTTCTAGCTGAATGATCTGGTTCCGTGAGTAACTAGGACGAGAGGAACTCAGTGGCACCCTTGTCTGACATTCTATATTAAGACTTCATGCATGATATCTAGAGAAATTTTGAAAAAAAAATATATTAGCTAAGGAGGTAAGAAATACATCTGCATGTCATACATGATTTTTTTATGTATGGTAACGGAAGTAAACTACGGAACCTCGACTCTACAGTCTGGGTATTTATTTTGATGTGTAATTTATGGGTAGATGATTTTGAGGTCATAGCATTGAACTTATTATCAGAAATAGGATGTAGCGGTATTATTACAAGTAGATCAAATACAGTAGCGGTATCCTTTACATGTAGATGAAACACAGTAGCCGTATCCTTTTCATGTAGATCAAATACAGCAGCGGTTTTTTACAGGTAGATATACCACAGCAGCGGTATCCTTTACAAGTAAATCTACCACAGCAGCGGTATCCTTTACAGGTAGAACTACCATAGCAGCACTATCCTTTATAGGTAAATCAATCACGGTAGCGGTATTCTTTAATTGCAGTTCTACCACAGCAGCACTATCCTTTACGTGTAGATATACCACAGTAGCGTATCTTTTGCGTGTAGCTCTACCACAGTAGCTGGATCCCTAAGTGAAGATTTACCACAGTCGTGGTATTTTTAACAGGTTTTACGCGTCATTCATAAGGATATTTTTACACAAGTTACTGGAGAATTCCAGCGGGAAAAGGTTGAAATTAAATGAAATTTAGAAGATGGTTAATTTAACAGTTATGTAAAGGGTCCAGTGCCACCCCACCCCTATATTTGTTAATGTCTGCTATGGTGTCGTATAAAATTGGTATCGTTATAATAAAAACTAAATTCAAAATCTACTTTCCCGAACTGTGAATCCGAGTGTTCATGGTTTATGTACTGTTGCTACGTAAATGCGTTCCATTGTTTGTAACTTTGGGTGCACTATAAGATTGACGGTCAAACCACACTATTCGGTTACACAAGAACACTCCGAGAGTTGGCGGCTGTCGACTAGCTGCATATATTCTAACTTATCGCTTCAAAATTAAGGAGGGTTCTGCGCAGAGAACCCTTGTGTAGCTTTGCGCGAAAGTTCTAAAAAACAAACGTAATCTGCTCCTATTTTCAGGTGCAATTTGAAATAACTTACTCTATGGTAATACTTGTATGTTGCAAAAACACAGAGCAAATTCATATGTAATTTATTGTTTGTGGTATCACACAAACACCAATTAAGACAACCTTCACATCATCATACTTGGAACCAATAGACAAATCTAAAACCTCATAGCTCCTCAACTACGCTCGATACTTTTATATTATTAGCTGTATTTTTTCGATATTTTTTACATGTGAAACAAGAGAATAAACCAGACGAAAGTAAACCAGTTTTTTAAGTTTCTTGATAAACATGATAAAACATCTTTGTCCGAAAACATCGCTGATTTGTTCTTGACTTCCAGGAGGAGGTGATTTTCAATTCTTGGAAAGACATGTTTACAGGGAATGGAGCGACGTTTCCATTTCCTCCTCGGATTTATTCGTTTGATGGAAGAAATGTATTATTTGATAACTTCTGGTAAGAAACGTAAATTGTATATGTACTTATATGACTTTTGCTTACTACTCTAATAATAAGTCAGTATTGAGTTGAAAACTCAATACTATTATTACTCATGACTTCCTGTAATAATACTACGATATTATTGATTATGTCACATAATATGTATTTTTCAACATAAAAATTTAAAGTTCAATTAGGATATTAATGTATATAATTCGTTATTTTGTGCAGGCCACAGAAAGTTGTGTGGCATGGATCCAACAAATTTGGAGTTCGAGATGAGAACAATTACTGTGAATCTTGGCAGAGCAGTAGCTTAACGAATCATGGATTGACTAGTTCCTTGATAAAGAATCGTCTATTAGGACAAGAAGAATACTCTTGTAACAATTCCTTCATTGTTCTCTGCGTGGAGACCATAAGTAGAAAGGAAAGCTTGCACAGGGAGAAGAGGAGCCTTAAGCAAGAAGGAGAAGAGATGGAAAAGGAATTAACGCCTGAGGAATATCGACAACTAATAGAAGATATTGACAGGGAAGCTGGTGAAAAGAAATTAAGAAACTGACTCAAATGAATAAACTTATAAATCTCTTACGTTTATAATTATATAAACGAAAGAGAGAGAGAATGCAGATAATTTTGAAGTATTTTATTAGTTATTGCTTAACAAAGTGCGATATTGAAGGAAGAAAAGAAAGTTGTTATTTTGAAAATGAAACACCGTATAAAGATGATGTTAAGTTAGTTGGGAAGCAATGAGCTTAAAAAGTCAGTCACCTAGCTGTTTTGTGTTATTAATCTTTCGTATTGATGGTCAAATAGCTCCAACAGATGCAATTAATTACACCCGGACACAATGATAAATTGAAAGTACTTGAATTCATGTTTAGCTGGCTATTCTTATCCTAGTTGTGCTTCCTTATGGTATTAGTAAAAGCAGTGTAAAGAAGAAAAGTATCTATTTATCACTAAAGCAATAACGCTCTCTCTTTATATGATCAAGTGTGTAAAAACGTAGTCTCATATTGCAATTATAATGAGCATTAACTGTCCTACCAGTAAGTAAATTCTCATGTTATACCCGTTTTCATTAAACCATCTTTAAAATACCTCATTTAACGAAACACTATACGTGTAGCTGTTTTGATAATAGTTGTTACTTGTGGCAGAATTTACAATAGTAATTAGTACACAAAGGGTTAAAGTCTTGAGAAATTGATAATAGTTTTTATTTTTTATTTGTAAAAAAATAGAAAAATGTATGTGATTAATTTCTGTAAATCAGCTCAGAAATTATACTGAAAGAGATTTCTTTTTGAGGAAAAGAAACATGACAAAAATTTTCAGTTTAGAAAACACAATATTAGGTCATTGCTTCGATTTGTTTAAATCTTTGACATTTCAAGTAATCATAAATTCTTTAGTGTCGTAATTAACAAAGTTGTGTATTCCCTTTTCAACTTTAGAACAGTTCACCTTAATCGCATTTTTTCTCATTTAGTTTCGTATTTCTTCATTCATAAATATATTATATGAAAAATCATGATCCTCTTATTACAGTGTTAACAAATAATTCATGACATATTTCACATAAAAGAATGTGCTTTCCTGAGCTTCAATGGTATTGGACTGTTGTGGTATTACTGAAGATGATGATAGTTTTCAAAATATTTGTTCGGTGTTTATTGATTTTGTGTGAGAAGCATACATGATTTATCTAAAGGTGTTTTTGTGTTACAGGTACATTATCCACTTTTTTTATGATATACCTAACAGTAACAGGTTTTGAATAGCATACTTGTAAGTCTTCCACATGCATAGCACACAGTTAAAGACGTTTTGCTATCTTGAAAACATCTGTTTAAAAAATCCAGATGTCCAGATTCCGGAATGAAACATAAGTATATACCATGTGTTTCATTAGTTTCTTTATTTCAGACAGGACCTTATAAACTATTCTCAAAATATTTAAAATGCGATTCCCCGTGGTGGACAGAACCCATATAACCTATTGTGTAGCTTTGCGCTAAAACAACAACAACCGCTTAAATAATAAATAAAGAACACACAACGTTAAAATCGATACACAATTAAAAACATTTCTAAAATGTGGACTCTACATGTTTCGACGTTTACCAGGTTTGGTAATTCTTGTATTCAAATCTGCAATTCCATTGCTCTCTTTTTTTCTCTCAAGTATACAACTTAACTCGTTAGTTTTGTAGTTTCTGTTGTCTCTTTAGATTCCAACTTCATTTTTTTCTTCTCCAAATCTGCTATTTATTAGCCATCTTCAGTTAACTGACTTTTCTTACTTAGATCTTAAATCTCTGTTAAATTAAAAGAAATTTTAAAAATGTGTAACAAATCTGATCTCAAACTTGAAGAATATATATATACAACGAAACAATTGCCGTGATTTCCACATTGTGTGTACCTAGTACAATTCTGGTATTTTGATAACATGCTGTTCCAAATCAAACCCAAAGTACGATAACATTTTTCGTCAGTGACCCATGGAAAATTCAACATGATCCTTACCGCAATACGGATCTTCCCCTCACCTTTTTTTTTTCGCAAAAATATCAAATATTTACAGCTTATCAAGTAGTTCAAAGTTCAGTTACACTGTATTTAATTAATTTTAGCTAATTTCTGTTTCGGTATATTAAGGTTCGTTCATTATGAGTTTGGAGTACCCTTGTGAATTCATTTTTTTCTTTTGTTTTGTTCGTGATCATTGTTAAGTATATTATAAACATTACCGGTTTCACTATGGTTTTTAAGTCGTTTACAGAAATACGCCTGTATGTAATAGTTTTATAACAACAAATATACAACTCGTCTGTCTATATAACTGCATTCTTTAGTTAATGTTTTGCTTCCGGTTTTAGATCTTCAATCTTTAGAAGAAAAAAAATGTTGCTTTGTTTATATGTGCGTTACATTTTGTGTAGGAATTTAAAAACAAGAAGAATTTTTAATCCTTTAAACTTATATATATTTATTAAGCACCATTATATGATGCCATTTTTCAATTAAGTTATTTTGCTTAAACTTTGGTACTTTGTGTGTATCGATTACTAAAGTATTCAGTCATTTTTTAACCTTTGTTAATCAAGTTATAATAAGTCCTGTAAGAAAGCACAAACATTGCAGTGTAAGGATTTGTATCTGAAGGTCAAGATGGGGTGTGTTCCAAAGTTCTATGTAAAATTTGTTTTATGCACCGAAATATATTAGCTTGCACCCGTCAAAACATTACTGTTTACCAAAGAAACGTGTTTTCTTTTAAGAAAAATAGTGAAACATATTCGAAGAGTTCAATAATAAGATAACATAAAGAAACTTTCGTGAAAATTATATTCTCACTTAACTCAGAAATGAGTAGTCAAATAAGGAAAAATGATAGTCTTAGTGGAGTGTGAGAATGAATAAGATTATTTATTTATTGCACTAGTAACAGTATTTCAATCATACCAAGTCATTGTTTCAAATACAACAGTTAGTACCAAATTTATGTTCATTTTCATCAAATTATAATAGTTTTTACTGTAGAACAAATTTAAGTTTTGTTCACGTGTAATGTGTTCGAAAATAGCTGACTCCTCGTAATGGAACTCAGCTTGTGTTGTTATTACGTTGGTATTGGTAAACCTGCTCTGTTTAATGAAAGTGTCTTCTTAACACCTTTTTACATAATGCTCTCGTTTCCAGCCGTGTTGCACCGGAAATGAGACACATTTACAACAGTGCATTAAAAAATATACAAAAACACTTCTTGGAAGCCCATGTGACATTCATGACGTCACTCATCTCCCTTTATATATTACTCATTCAGTTACACTACTATTCCATGGTGCATCAAATGAGGAATCAACCGAAATCCAAACGAGACTTAAGCGATAATATTCCATAAACGCCTCAACAAAAAAATACAAAAAACTTAAGAATGTAAAACAAACTGTACAACTCCACTGTCACCCTTTCATTGTCAATCAACTCCACTATCACCCTGTCATTGTCAATCAACTTCCTAGGCATGACGCTTAATCACAATCTCACATGGCACTCACACATAAAATAAATCTAGAAAAAACTTCTAGCAAGAGTAGCACACCTATATAATACACGGTTGCAAATCGCAAACCAGCCTTCATATTTACCGAACATTGATGAGAGCCTTAATGGAATAAGGTTCTATAATCATCTGTAACATGGAAGAAATCCAGTTCACTAAATTACAAAAACTCCAAAACATTGTGTCTAAACTAGCATACCGTTTTCCACTGTACACACCTTCCCACTATTGTCGAACACTATTCAGACTCCCCCCCCCCTCAAATCCAGACTTCTCAGACTAGCCAGTGCGTATTATAATAAAGCCGCAGTTCGAAACTCTCTTACTGCACACCCCACCCCCACCCCACACATGCGTGGAGAAATATATTTCGCCTTATAACTTCATACATGATGGCAACCACGTACACTAATATTAAGTGAGAAGAGGTTATATACCTCACAATATACGTTTATTTCTAGTATCTTTTAGGCATTAACATCTCAACATAACTGAAGTCTGTAATTATGTTGGCCACAATTTAATGTTTCGTATTTGTAGCCGACACAAGGCAGCTGATTCATAAATAGTTGAACAAAGTTGTTTAAACATTTGTTTAACAACAAGTAAAAGCTTGGAATGGTCTATTATTTCATTGGGGGGGGGGTGTCTGTGGGCCAGACTAGTTTCGGAGAATTTCATACTCTAGTTTGTCTAAATCAAATATCCCTGATTCGTGGTGAAGAAGGGTTCAATAATCTTCGAACATCCAGGATGAAAAATGGATTGAATCACACAATTGTGATCTAAACGATTTTTGATCTAAATATCTACCAAGTTGGTGAATTAGTTACTACCAGTCCCAGTTTACCGCTGAAGAAGAAAGGCCCACCTTTCGAAAGTGCTTGGGTTATAGGGTTTTTATCATTTTATAATCCATGAAAATTCAGAGAGAGAAAAACTGGATTGGTCAACATTGACCTGTTTCAGCCTTTAACAACATTTAATTGACAAATTTAACGATTCAACTCTCAGGCTAAATAAAATCACAATAAATATATTGTTTTGTTTCAGCGTACCTGTAACTTAAAATGATAAAATTAATTGCACTTTTAGTTTGATTTTCCAATAAATAATGCAACTCGATTTTTTATTGTGTGATTATTTCGAAACAAGATAATTGTAATAAATATAAAAAAACACGGTAATGCTGTTACGACAGCGGAAGTCACGTTACGCTGCTAGCGCATGCGTGACTGAGTTTCTCATATTATTGGGGAAGCTCGAGTGTGATCGAGAGATACCTCTTTGTTAGTATATAAGCTTGGCGAGAAAGCCTGCGGCAATGAATGTATGATGAAGGGAACAGTAGTTACGATAATTTACTATTCTTTTTCTAGCTAGTGTGTGTTTTGCACTCGTAGAGAGCGATATTATCGAGATTGTGAATCG